AACGGAACTTCTTCGATGCTTCGCACCCCCTTAAGGTGATATGAAAGTGGCGTCGAAGAGGTTTTGTTTATAAAACTTTTCTCCCACCTCGATTTACCGAATAGTTTGAAATTTTACAACGTGAATAGGGAGACTGTAAGGAATGTCCTGAACTCATGAAATTTCAATTCTTTTGAAATTCCTTTATAGGTATTTTAAAAATAGTTTATAAAAAATGAAATTTCCCGAGTTTCAGGACCTACCTTAGAGTCTCCATATTCACGTTTTAAAGTATGAAACGATTTGAGACACCCAGTTCGTAGAAATGTTTTATGAACGATTGAGCTTTCGGATGCCACTTTCACATCCCCTTAAGGTGATGTAAAAATGCCGTCGAAGAGGTTTTGTTTATAAAACTTTTCTCCCACCTCGATTTACCGAATAGTTTGAAACTTTACAACGTGAATAGGGAGACTGTAAGGAATGTCCTGAACTCATGAAATTTCAATTCTTTTGAAATTTGTTTATAGGTATTTTAAAAATAGTTTATAAAAAATGAAATTTCCCGAGTTTCAGGACCTACCTTAGAGTCTCCATATTCACGTTTTAAAGTATGAAACGATTTGAGACCCCCAGTTCGTAGAAAAGTTTTATGAAAGACCGAGCTTTCGGATGCCGCTTTCACATCCCCTTAACTGCACGAGTGATAAAAATTGCAATGTATGCGTGGAAGCACAGCGATACCTCCGTTCTAAGTGTGCGCCAATAAGGTGAAGTGATCACGTCAATGATGGAAGATTCATGGCCAAGCGGTGAACCCCACCCGGTAGGAAAGGCACTTCCCAGATTACAACTAGGATACCCGAAAAAAAAGAGCCCTCACCTTCTCCTGATTGGGGTCCTCGTTGAGCGAGTGGGTCCTCAGCTTGTGCGTCAGAAATTTCAGCATAGTTCCCCGTGTGTTGGTCCCTGATCCACGAAAGAGCCGACCCGGTCGAACCGGCGATCTCTTCAGGGTGGTCGGCTCATCGCCGTGAAATGTCTCCTCCGGAGGATACCCCTGGTGATCCTGGTCGCCGACCACGTATCAAGCTTCCAGGATCCCCACCAATCGAGACCGAAGTCTAGGAGGTTCAGCAAGTTCCCCAGGACAGCACCCACGACGAGGGGCTTTGTCAATCCCGAAGCGTTCGGCACAATTGCCGCCGTCCACGTACCCCGCTCCCCAGGACCCCCAACGGGTGGAGTCGAAGTCCTGGAGGATCAGCGAACTCCCCAGGTGACTCCTGCAGGATCAGCGAACTCCCCAGGTGACTCCTGCAGGGTCTGGTGGAAAGAAGCCGAGGAGAGAATCCCTGGCGTCGGTCTGGTCTCCGTTGGTCGGAGACTCCAGCTCCCAGGATTCCTCCAGGACCCCGGGCGAGTCGACCCTGGAGTCCACGAGGCCCCCAACTGGCGGCGCTTCTCGATTATTCCGGCGTCCGGTGCACTCGGGAGGTCTCTTTGTCTCTCCCTCCTTTTCGGGTCTCCGGCTTTTGATCGCTCCCGTATCGTCCTCCCTCTCTTCCTGCGTTCTCCCCCGTTGCGCGAGTCATACGTCGCCGCCGCTTCCTCGGCCCTCCTGGAGGTGTAACACCGTTCGTACGACCCAAGTCTGAGGAATACCGTAACCACCAGGACCTCGGACCTCCTGTAGGAGCAACGGACAACCGACGTTTCGGAAATATCCTTGCCGAAGCCTCGAGGTCAGGCTAAGATACGTCGCCGCCGCTTCCTAGGGCCTCCAGGAGTAATCCGGCTCTAGCACCCCGGGTTTCAGAAATACGATCTTGCCGAAGCCTCGAGGGTCAATCTTAGCTCGGGCAAAATCGAGGCGATTGGCCACGCAGCATTCCTCGCGAGGTTATTCCAGTCTCCCGGAGCGCGGCTCTCGCCTCTGGGCGCCGCTTTTTTAGGTTAGGTCGTGTCCCGGGGGTCCATCCACCGAGTTCCTTGCACACACAGCGTACGCCACGTACGCCGAGTGCTCGGTCGAGACTTCCCCACGGGTTTGAGGACCTTTCCTTCTTCCCGAACCCCTTTGGCCAGGTTCTGGACCGGTTGGATTCGGGATTTCCAAGTTCTCCAGGTCGCCGGCGCCGCCGAATCAGGAGCTACCCCGTCCAGCGGGTCTTAACCCACGCTCCTGACCTATTTCCTCGAGATAAGTAAACCGGGGTCGATATCTCGAATTTGTAGCCCAGTCCAGGATCGGCGTCGAGCCGGACACTGGAAGAGTCCGCTGCCTCCACCTCGTCTTTCGATCCTCGAAGATGCCGCGTCGACGCGCCTCCAATTCCACTTTTCTTCCCGCAGTCCATGATGATCTCGCCTTCTGCGACTCGGTGCGAGGTTATGTTCCTCCGTGACTTGATGTTATTATCCTTCGGAAGTCAGGTCAAAGCTATCGGGCTCCGTCGGTGTAACGCTCTCTTCTTCCGCGACTCGCCCCAAGGCTATCGTCCTCCAGATATCCGTACGAGTCTCTCGTTCCTCCGCAACTTCATGTAAGATTATTTTCTTATCCGCCAGTTGTTGCAAGTCCGCCTTCCTTCTTATCACGCCGCAAACTCCCTCCGCGACCTGGTACGAGGGTACTATCCTCCGAGACTGGACACGAGGCTAACCTCCACGGCTCGTTAGGGGGTACCCTCTTCCACGACTCGTTACGAGTCGACCTGCGGAGTCCAACCGACTCGCATAGCGCGAGTCCGCCGCGAGGCGGAAAGGCGGACTCTCAGCGAGTCCTCTCGGTCCTCGGTTTCTCGAATCGGATCGATCGGGAGCCGAGTCGCATGGCTGTCGCTCCTTCCGTGCCCTCGGTTCCGTCGGTAAGGTCGCGCGCCGTCTCCACCCGGGCCCCCCGGGTGCACGCGTCCTCGCCGCGGGCCGAGTCGCGCGGTCGGTAACGCAGCGCCCTCCCGGCCTTGCTCGAAGAGCGGCCCGGCCGGCGTGGCTCTAACCTAACCTCCGTCGCCTCTGCGCGTCCTAACCTCTCGAGGGTCCTCGTCTCGAGGTCAGGACGCTCGAGCTCTGCCCCCCAGGATTCGGCCTCTTATCCTGACCGATTAATATCGATGCGCGCGCGCGCCCTTCCGCATCCGCTGTCCGGCCGGCGAACCCCCCGCCCCGCTCGCTCGCTCGCTCCGCTGCCCGACGACCGCACCGTCCCGCTGACGCCGACACACTGCCGCTCGCGACTGCCACTTCGCCACTGCCGGCGCGCCGCCGGCTTCGCCTGGCCGTGCCTTCTCCCGAACGCTCTTCCCTCCCCTCCCCGCCGCCGCCGCCCACGCTCGACGAGTGGAGGGGAGAGGACCCTTCCTAACCTCACCTAGCGCGACGGACGGAGCGTAAAGCTCGACTTACACCTGCGGCGCGGCTCATCTCAGAGATTAATGAGATTTAAGATTATATATAACAATTTATCTATATATTACGTTAATTCATAAGTAGTGCTGATTTATTTACACGTTACGTTACGTGTTAAAAACGCTATTACTTATGCAGAGGGACCCCCTGCGCCATCTGTGATTTCCAGGCCAATTAAATTTTCACTCCGAGACCTCGTATTACCATCGTTTTAGCATAGAAGCGCATACAACACTTTTTTTGCCTTTATCCCATTGAAATGCGAGTTTATCGATTACCAGAGTGTCCTAAATTGTCTTAAAATTGTCCTGACCCTTTCGATTCTCATATCAGAGCCTTCGATAATTGTATGTCGATCGAAATATGAGAGCTCGACGCCATTTTGGTTTCTGGTCTGGGCTGTGTTAAACAATTATTTTGAAAAATCCAAATTTTCAATGTGTCAGGACAATTCTTAGATGATCAGGGGTCACAAGTGTCAAAGTTTCGGACAGTTTGGTCTAATACCCTTAAAAAAAAAGTGTTGTATTCGAATCGACTGATTTGAGGGGGGTTTCACTTCACCTTAATGGACCCCGGGAAAGTTTTGAAAGTGCGAACTGTTCCATAGATTCATGCATCCCTATCTCGGCAAGAACGAGCGAGGCTGCCTCGGTAAATGTTCACGAAGGTTTTATCTTCGGCCTGGCCGGGAGTGCGAGAAACGAGGGGTCGAATCGGATTCCTAAAAAAAGACCCTCGACCTGGCCGATAAGGACGCCAGAGCCGTATTTCAAGAGCGGCTCTCCTTATCGAGTAATAACTCTGCCGGCGAGCAGCAATTTCATATCTGCCGAGCTTGGTTTACCGACGGCCGGTATTGCAAGGTACGAGATATATGCGAGGCCGAATTTCCATTCGAAATGTCCCTCTTCTCGGAATCTCGTTACATATACTTAAAACAAAAAGTGAACATTCGAAAGCTAAAGAAATTCAATTACGGGACATCAATTTCCGCGTTCATAAATTGGCACGCTGTTAACAATATGAAACAACTGTGACGTTGAATAAAATCTCTAACATGTGTTATTAATTAAACGCGCAACTGTGATTTTTCCGGCATAATGTTACAGAATCTTATATATACAAGGTTACAGAATTAGAAATGTATGATAAATCGATAGTAATTCCCTTTTAAGGTGAAGTGAAACACGTTGAGGAACTTGATCGACGTCGATAGAGAAGATTTTTCTAAATGCCTACGTCGCCGACGTTTGTTTTTATATTGACAGCTGTGTCGAATTATATTGGGTATTGTATCAAATGGCATACTCCATTTGTCATTTTCGTACAATAATAATAAAGAAATCGAAATTAAACTCCAGAAATCCTCTGGATTCGTGCTTTCTGGGGCCCTAATTGACTGCAGAGGGACCCCCTGCGCCATCTGTGATTTCCAGGTCAATTAAATNCTTAAACGAACGACGGTATTTAAAATCCAGGATGGGATTTTTTTTAATTAAAAATCTGAATAACGCGATCGCGTCGCATGAGGTTCGCAGAATCAAGATGGCGGCTCTTCGATTGAAGAAGGCCTTAAAAAAAAAGTGTTGTATTCGAATCGACTGATTTGAGGGGGGTTTCACTTCACCTTAAGGCATCAAATATATATATATATGTATATAATTCTAGTGAAATTTCACCTTGCCAAATGTATAGGGATTTTTTATAGATATTTTTAAGAGTATTGTTTCCATAACTTTCGGGCGGTTCCGGGCACTAATCTCGCTGAGAGACGCAAAACTGCAATGTCGCTAAACACGGTCGGTAAATGTTCACTTACGGGCTCCGTTAGTGTCGACATTCCGGCGATTCCGTGCCGGAATATACGACCGAGATCTACATTCATGTCCCTTTCAAAGAACCCACTAAACGGGCGAAAAAACCTCGCCGAAAAGGACCTCCACCCCCGCGAAGCTCGCATCGTCCCGGCTATCTCTTTATGCTAATGGAAAGAGTGGCATAACCGTTCCAGAGACGCAGAAACGCCAAGTTCATTCGAACGCCATTCGTATTCAAGGCGTTTACCGCTTTCCGCACTCTACCGCCATCTAGAGGTCCTTCGCGCACCTAAACGGGACTATTTTCGAGCCCGAAACTATTTCCGCGCCCCTTTCGCACAAAAGCCGTCCGTTTTACATTGAAATGCCCACGTGAGTGAGGAAACGGGACCTCCCCACATTGGAGTGGGTCTATGGCGTAAAGAAACGCTTTGGTGCCTGAACTTCGCCGCATATACGCCGTGAGATGACATAACCGTCCGAATGAAATGCATTATTACCTCGCTGAACTGGCACAGTGGAAAAAAAAATGGAAAAACGGTCATAATAGATCGCTCCACGTCACCAGTTTCCCTTAAAACTAACCTACCGATCGCCAAATTAATAATTAACGACCTCGCCGACGTGAATACGAGATGATCGGCGCCATCTTAACCGGTACTCGCAAACATACGCCTGATGCACATGTCGCCCTTTTAAGGCCCACTTCAAACTTCCGCCATTAAGTTTAACGGCTGTACGCCTAGATGTCGCCTTTTAGGAGACGCATTAAATAATCAACGGACATTATCCCTACGTGTGATCGATATTCCAGGGGATAGACTGGATAGGGTTAATCGATCGGCAGCGCGCGCGACAATCGCCGCCATTTTGGGCCAAAATGGCGGCGATTCCAGAAACATACGGGACGCTGATGCACGCGTCGCCCCCTTAAGACCCGTTCTAAACTTCTGCCATTAAGTTTTACGATAGGCGGCCGTACACGTTCGCTCCTACGTACGCCTGCGAGTAATGCCCGACATAAGGGCTACCGAAACTCGTTACCGACCGAGCAAGGCACGCCGAATAAGGCCTGCCCTCGGTTTCGAGGGCGGCTCTTCGATGGGAAAAGAAAATCCACATCTCAGGCGATACGCGCGAGGAGAAACTGTATAACAGTAAAATCGATTACATGCACGATGCTTATTAAATGAACGGCGGTATTTAAAATCCAGGATGGGATGTTTTTTTAATTAAAAATCTGAATAACGCGATCGCGTCGCATGAAGTTCGTAGAATCAAGATGGCGGCTCTTGGATAGAAAAAAGAATTCCACATCTGAAGCGATACACGCGAGTAGAAACTGTATAACAGTAAAATTCATTACGTGTAAGATACTTCTTAAACGAACCACGGTATTTAAAATCCAGGATGGGATTTTTTTTTAATTAAAAATCTGAATAATGCGATCGCGTCGCATGAGGTTCGCAGAATCAAGATGGCGGCTCTTCGATTGAAGAAGGAATTCCACATCTGAAGCGATACACGCGAGTAGAAACGGTATAATAGTAAAATCCATTACGTGTAAGATACTTCTTAAACGAACGACGGTATTTAAAATCCAGGATGGGATTTTTTTTAATTAAAAATCTGAATAACGCGATCGCATCGCATGAGGTTCGCAGAATCAAGATGGCGGTTCTTCGATAGAAGAAGGAATTCCACATCTTCGGCGGTACGCGTGAGGTATGGTGCATCGGCCAGAAGCGATAGAGTATTCTTATCAGGGTCGAGCACCGAACAGCCATTTCGGTTCACGTATAAATAGAATGCAGAGAGAGGTCTCTCCACGAGGGCCGACAATGCCCGACCTCGTTCACGCGTCCCCTTAGGTGCGAACGTGCACGCATCCAGCCTCGCCGGTCCAGAGAGACCAGCGAGATGAGCGAGATGAACGAGACGAGCCGAACCGACGGGGACGCGTGTGCGGTGTGTCGAGTTGCAGCAACGCAAAAGTGCAGCGGCTGCAGAAACGTCTTTTACTGCAGCCGCGAGCACCAGAAGAAACACTGGAAACTGCACTCGAAGAGGTGCAAGACGGTCCAGGTAATGGTCCACTCGGGACTCTGAAATATCACATCGGGCCCCGCAATCTTAATCCAAATCCTTATCCACTGAACTTAAGGTGAAGTGAAACCCCCTTCAAATCAGTCGATTCGAATACAACACTTTTTTTTAAGGGTATTAGACCAAACTGTCCGAAACTTTGACACGTCACTCCTGATCATCTAAGAATTGTCCTGACACATTCAAAATTTGGATTTTTAAAACAATTTTTTAACTCAGTCCAGGCCAGAACCAAAATGGCGTCGAGCTCTCATATTTCGATCGATATACAATTATCGAAGGCTTTGATATGAGAATCGAAAGGGTCAGGACAATTTTACGACAATTTAGAACACTCTGGTAATTGATAAACTCGCATTTCAACGGGATAAAGGCAAAAAAAGTGTTGTATGCGCTTCTATGCTAAAACGATGGTAATACGAGGTCTCGGAGTGAAAATTTAATTGGCCTGAAAATCACAGATGGCGCAAGGGGTCCCTCTGCAGTCAATTAGGGCCCCAGAAAGCACGAATCCAGAGGATTTCTGGAGTTTCACTTGGATTTCTTTATAATTATTGTAGGAAAACGACAGGTGGAGTATGCCATTTGGTACAATACCCAATATAATTCGACACAGCTGTCGATATAAAAACCAACGTCGGCAACGTAGGCATTTAGAAAAATCATCTTTATCGACGTCGATCAAGCTCCCCGACGTGTTTCACTTCACCTTAAGCTGAAAGGGTTACTCTCTAGATATCGAAACGTGAAAATATTTATTCAACTTGTCCCCAAACTGGATGCACCGAATTATTTGGAACTTCGTCGCGTGATTATGGAGTCCCTAAGGAAGAACGTGATACTTATGAAATTTTGCATACATAATCGTCAAACGAGACTGGGTGCCACTTTAACATCACCTTAATACTCTTATATAGTGATAAGCTCTGACAGTAAACTGATTATGCGAATTGAAACGCTTTTTCCAAGGTGGAGGAGACCCCTAAACTAGGAAGGCATTTCACGGCCATAAGGAACATCGACGTCGGGGAAATCGTCCTGAGAGAAGACAAGCCTCTCGTGTCAGGACCTCCTCAAGATACTCCTCCTGTTTGTCTAGGATGTTACGTCGTCCTAACATCCTCTACGGCCGTTCCTTGCAAAAAATGTGGATGGCCTCTTTGCGAGTCCTGCAAGTCGCACGGACCAGAATGTGAATTCACCTCCAAACACAAAGAAACGAAGGTAAACATAAAGATGGCCGCAACATGTCGATAAATTCCTGCCAAAAATTCGAACTCCAATTTAATTGCATTTTACAATCCACCAGGATTTATCTATCCGCGTGTTGCGATCGGCAACCAACTAAACCCCGTTAAAAAAACCAAATCGGTTTTTTTAAACAGACATTTTTGGAATATTTATCCAATCTCATTCGTTGATCTCATTGATTGCAGGTCTCCATCACTGATTACGGATACCCTCACCCGACATATCGCTGTATCACTGTAATAAGAGTGCTCTCGTTGCGAGAGTCGGACCCGGAGGTTTATAAGAGATTTTCCAATTTGGAAGATCACTGCGAAAAAGCCTCGGAAATCACCCAGGGGATAAACGACGTCCTCGAGGTCGCGCGATTCGTCAAGAGGTTCTTTAATCTGAAGGACATCGATGAGAAAGAAATCGGCAAAATCGCTGGAGTCCTACAAGTGAGGCACTTCGAAGCCTTCCCATTTCTCTCTTTTAATTTCACGCCCAAAAAATGATATGGACCATTAAGGTGATATGGAAGGGTCACCGTATGAAGGTCCTAATCTTTCCTCTGGAAATATCATTTTCTTTTCGTTAAAAAAATGATTAAATTTCACGTTCATTCTTAGGGCCTCCCATAATCACGCGTTGAAGTTCCGAATTAATCGGTGTACCCATTTTTGAGGAAAGTTTTCGAAATATCTTGACTTTTTCATATACATATAAATCCAAATTTTCTCGCAGGTCAATGGCCACGAGGTGCCGATTACCGAGCCATCTTACGTATCCGTATACGACCGTACATCGTTTCTAGAGCACAATTGTCGAGCCAATTGCTCGAAAAGCTTCACCGGAAAAGGTGGAATAATTATTCGCGCCGCCCTTCCTATAGCAAAAGGTAAATTCTGATGGCGAAACAATTGGATTAGAGTCACGCGACTTTATCATTACCTGGTCCCCTTTACAGGTGACCACATATCCATTTGTTACACCGATCCTTTATGGGGAGCATCTAACAGAAGGCACCACCTTTTGCAGACAAAATACTTCGAGTGCGCCTGCGAGCGCTGCAAGGACCCTACCGAGTTTAAGACAATGTACAATGCAGTGAGATGCACCAGAACCGGGTAAAGTCCTTGGAAAAAAAAAAAAGAAAAAAGGAAAAACCCCTAAAATATTTTTGAGGCTTTTTACGAACAGATTGCTCCGGACCTCCGGATCCTGACGACGTTATTTCATTCCAGAGGATGCCCAGGGTACATGCTCCCCCCTACGTTCGTCATCTCCCAGGAGAACCTCCCACCTTACACTTGCAACAAGTGCAGCGCAACGATGCCTTTCGACGAGGTCGAGGACTTCCAGCAGAAGGTCGGCGTGGACGTCGCAGGGATGCAGAAGGACGATGTCGAGGCTTGCAAGGATTTCCTGAATCGTTATGCGGACCGGCTTCACGGGAACCATTATTACATGACGGACGTGAAGCTCGCCCTGGCGCAGATCATCGGACAGAAGGAGAGTCCTTTCTTGCAGGCCGTCGACGATGAATTGCTCAAGGAGAAGATCGTCCTCTGCAAGAAGTTGGACGAACTCCTGCGCGTCCTCGTGCCTGGTCGGTACACGCAGAAAAATCATTTGGTTTAATCAATTTAGGACATTACCTCAAACACGCGAAAAATATTAAATTATAAATTATTTTAAGTCTAGATAGAGTAGATAAAATCTGTTTTGTTTCTTGTTTAAACAGCGGAGAATAGAGTCAGAGGACTGATCTTGTTCGAGCTGCATGCAGCTCTGTCGGAGCATGGTAGAAGATTGGGACCGGAAGCTCTTCAGGGAACCCTAATCGTAAGAGTGAATTAGACAATTTGGCTGAAATGTCTTGCGATGTTGGCAATCTCAAACTTACTTAAATTCATTTGGCTCCTCAGTGTATCTCTGAAAATTATTATTGAATTTTAGAAATTAAGTTACAATGTGTCGCAGGACTTTTTAGTCAACCCGATACCTGATTGGCCTCGCAGGTTCCCTAATCCATCGAAGACGATGCACCTAATTCTCTCTTCCTCTTCGAACAGGACTCGAGGAAGGTATTGGCAGAGTCATATGAATTACTTCGCTACGAGCCAGAAATCCTCCCCGAAGGCATGGTCGCAGTCCACGCGTACAGAAATCTCCGCAGCCTGGATGCAATAATCGAAAAGATGTGTCAGAATTCGATCAGTCCGCTGTAAAAACAAGAAGTCTGTCGAAGTGCCCTTTAAACAACATAAATCACCCTCAGCCTTAAACAAGTGCCCCGAGTTGCACTAAAGAGCGACATCGACCATTAGACAATTTGTTAGTTAATATTATATCAGTGCACAATTAACGTTACTCTTCAAGGTAAACCAGAAATATGATAGCAACGTTAATTATGCCCACCATTTAAGTTAGACAATTTTGTACCTAGTACACGAACCAAAAGACATACGCAATATTGTTATCCTTGACCTGCGCCACAAAAAGACCTACTCTTAAAACTGCTTCGGCTAATCTTTTTCCATACAATCGTTTAATCTTCAGGGAAGCTACCCACTCGGCGTCGAATAAAACCGCGCAATCCTTGGGCTCTGTTAAACATTAGATTTTATTCAAACGTCATGCCGAAATGTCGTTAGATTTACAAAAGGTTCAACAACGCAGACACTCACGGGAAGGGATGGTCCGTGCCGTCGTTAGTAACAGTTCTATTATAATTATTGCTTCTTGATATGTAAGATTTATTAAGGTGATGTGAAAGCGGCATCTGAGGAGGTCAACCGATTTTTTTTTTCTATAACTTTTCTCCTAACAAGATGTGCCGAATTATTTAAAATTTCAAATTATTCATGGCACTGAAATCATAGATGGCGCAGGGTGGCAATCTGCAGTCAATAAGGGCATCGAAAATCACGAATCCGGGGGATTTTTGGAGTTTCACTTAGATCCCCTTACAATTATCGTACGGAAACGACACGTGGAGTATGCCATTTGGTACAATATCGGATATAATTCGACACAGCAGTCGATATAAATACGAAGGTTGGTAACGAAGGTATTTAGAAGAATCTTATTTTACCGACGTCGATTTAATTTCTCGACGTGTTTCACTTCACCTTAAGGTTCGTGCCCCGTGGTAAACGTCGAGACTTACCGTGCCCACTTCCCACATGCTTACCCTAGACACCGACTAGGACTTCATTGGCGTTAAAAAAATACCATCTCTTAAAAATACCATCTCTATCTCCCTCCGATCCTCCGCTCTCCCCGTACTTAGGCGGTGAGACACGAGATCCACGTCGTTTGGAAAGAAACCAGTTTATTAATCAAAATGTGACCTCGCTTAGGTGGGAACTCTCTTCCCATGCACTTCAGGGCGACAGTTGGTTTTCTTTAGGGGGTTTCCAACCCCTGGGACTCGACCGAGCAACCTGGAGTCTGCTGGGCTCATCTTCAAGGGCGTACATCAGTGATCGTCACCTTGACTCGAGAAAGTGGCTGATGCTCCTCTCCGATGAACTGGCCAGTTCATCCGTGGCTCTTGCTGGATGCTTTCCACTTGGTTTGGAAGGACTCGATGTGCTCAATATTCACACCTGGCACAAAACAACAGACCATTTCAAATAACAAAATAACATTCACTGTTCAAATCGAGCCTCCGTTACTTTAATTAGGCTTCGCCTCAACCAGGATACTTCTACGTAGCTAGATAAGCATGACGAATGACCTGCGATGCAGTGATTTTATTCCAATGGTGAAATCACTCCGGTCTGTTTCCGATAAGGATCTGAGTTTCTTAATAATTGTAAAGACTCACCTGCACTTTTTGCCAATCCTTCCGGACTGAATGAAAACAACTTCTTCTCCTCCGCAGTGAAACAGGTTAGCAGAGTGACAACTGGTGATTCGGAGTCGGTGTTCAAGCCAACTTTGGTTTGCTGGGTGAGATAGTGGCAGCATTCGATAATTTGGAAGAATAACCAAGCCTCCTTGTCTTTTGGCTTAGGTCCCTTGATTAATGGAAGTGGTAACCTTTCGTGAGGTCTCTGAGCTCTTAGGAATCGAGAACCTCTTCTCAGTTGAGCTTCCAGCCATCTCAAGGCTTCTCTGGCGTGAGCACTTGTTCGTTTCATCTCATCCAAAGCGGACACCACTGGAATGAGATTATGTCAATGTTAATTACAATGAAATACTTTAAAGAAATTAGACAAAATTTTAACAATTATTTTATTAACTTACCGATAGATGGAATGACGATGATAAACTTCTTCGCATAGATCAGACGCTTGATAGCTGGTATGTGCTTTGCCAGGGTTTCGTGGTCAGGAACCAAATAGGGTGACATAAATCGTGACCTCAGTCTGCTCTCCAAAGCTCGAACCTCAGCTTTTAACCAAAGTCTTCCCATATGCCGCATGAGCTTTCCTCTGGAATGTTCTCCCTCTCCGTTCTTCCCAAATCCATTAGTGTCGTCCTTCGATGCATCCGAGCTCTTTGCATCCAACATCACAAACACTTTCCTAACCTCGTCATATTGTATTCCAACTTCTTCTATGGAGCAGAGGTACTGTCCAAACTGTACCATCTTCAAGGTCCGAAGCAGTGTCTCCTCCTTCTTATTCATCTTGCATTTGTACAATACCTTCCAGTCTAACCTTTTATGAGCATGTTCAAGAATAGCTAACCCTCTTAAATCTACATCCTCTGGTAAAGGAACTACGTCAGCGGACTCTTGGAGCTTAGTATTGCTTGACAAAAATACAGAATCTTCGTTCCAATTATTTAAAAGCACATCGGTGTCTAGGTTAACAAGATTTAGAAGCGTGACCACCCGACTCATCAGCGTCCTCATGCTCTTCGCACACGTTCTTATAATATCTGGATGACCTTTGAGCCAATCATAACAAATTTTAATAGACACGAGTATACCTTCTTCCACAAGGTAATTTAAAATCTCGGTTGGATCTAATCTCTCTTTTTTTAACAGAGCGATGTATGCTATGGTGTTCGAAGAGCTACTACTGTCTTCATACGTGCTGCAAGAATCTATATTTGTAGTGAGCCCTGCAGCATTGCCAGAATTTGTCGTAGAATCTTTATCATCCAGTTTTTCCTCACTTTGATTATCATTCTCTTCATGCATACCATTCGTCATTGAGATCTCTGTCCCAGGATTCAATTGCTCTGCATTGGAGTCTATATCTGGGCTGTTATCTGTGCAGTTATTAGCAACAACATCCAGATTAAGAGGTTTGTTACTTGTCGGAACACCTTCATCCTCTGTCAAGTCTTCAGACAATGCATCGGACAATGCATTTTCTTCACTGAGGGCATCCTCCTCTGTTTCGGAGATATCGGAATTAATTTCATCACTGGAAGATCCCAACGTCGGGCCATCAACGTCACTGGCATCGGAATCTGAACTATTTCTACGTTTTCGAGGACGACGCAATTTAGTCAACATACTTTTCGATTTGTCTCGAAACCTCTTCACCCCATTTGACGATGATTTCTCATCTTTCACGCATTCATTCTTATTGATTTCATATTTATTGTCATTCAAGTCCACGTCACTGGTGCTCTCCTTTGAATTTGTCTCATCATTAATATGTTTGCTCGCCTCTACATTGAGAATCTCCATGTCGCAAGAATTACTATCTATTAACCCCTTCCCATTAGACATAGCCATGCTTATAACCGATTCCTGCAGTCTGGATATTACACATTGCACCAGCTGCGACAACAAAGCCAAAATAAAGGCGACAATTCCTTGAACCTCTGACGACTCTTTGTTCTGGAGCTTCGATATGGTCATTAGACATGTCGCAACGATTTTAAATACCATGTCATCGTGCAACCAAAGGGGCACTTCGTCTCTGCAATTCTGCAGATATGCTTCGATGCTGTTTTCATCGCTACTGAGTTTTTCATCACAGGCGCTCAATTTTTCCGCATTCAAACACTCTTCGATGTCCTCCAACAGATCCTATAAATAACAAAACGCATTATAATATATGAAATATTTATATCTCCTTTTATCTCATTACCTTCGACTCTTGATTGATTCGATTGAAATTTGGAGGATCGGTGTCCCATTGTTCCAACAGTGACAGCAGTCTTGCAACGCATCGATGTTGCAGAGTCTTCTCGTTTCCATTGAACGAATGCGTTACGATAGCTCGTCTTAAATTTCCTTCGGCTCCTTCAAATGACTCCGAACATAAAATACTACGATGGGAATATGACAAGTTAGTGATTAATGTTAATTATTGAATAACCGACTAAAACATGCAGACTCACCATCTTGTATAATGATAAACAGCGTCAAGGCCAAAGTTCTTGTTGCCGGCCACAGTACCCAATTGATTATAGGGCATTCCAACGTTCGAATCGATAGCTATAGCCATTTTGTAATACCTTGTTGCAATCATTGGATTCCAATTGGGATCTAAGTCGAGCCTGTACCGCGCCAAGTCCCCAAGGCATATTAAACTCCGATGAATGAGACGCACGGCACACTGTCTAACTTCTTCAGTATGTAATTTGCAAGAAGCGATTTTGCTCCTAAGCTAAAAAACAAAGAAAAGCACAACGTAAAAATCTGAGACTGCAATGTAGATATCTACACTTTACATTAATGACAGAATATTCAGATTGCTACTCATCGATTAACTTACACTAGACAAACCACTTTCATTTTGAGGATACGCAAAATCAATAGCACCGACCAGTTCGAGATTGCATTCTAATTGCAGTCTTAGAATCAAGTGATGGTAAAATCCTACACCCACTGCCAGATGAGCCGATAATAAAGCTTTATCTGCCTCGCTCCAAACATTGCCCTAAGGAAATGTATAACTTTAAATTATTTAGTTTTTTCTCCATTCAATCCAATGAAACTAATAATTTAGGCACTCGAAGTAACAAAATTTCCTGGTCTCACCTTTCGCAGTTTCTTTGCCGCGGACACGACATCATAAAAGCCTCTCCTCCACAATACTTCCTCTGTTTTCCGGGCATGACCGAGAGGGTCCTTAAAGATCAATCTTTCACAATAATCTCTAAGCTTCGTCCGAAGAACTTCTCCTGAAGGTGTAAACACATCCACCACGGTTAACGCCTGACTCTTTTGTTCGTCGAGCCGTTTGGCAAGATCGGTTACTGCCCTGTTAATAAACACACAATCCATTAACACCTAAAGCTGCATAATGACCTTTTATACGCTAAAAGGCATTCCACATAATTTCTTCATTGAATTAGAGATGTAATAAAAGAAGTCTCAACATTTACACTCTTCCAAGATGCAGCCTTCATAATGCGTAATTAAATTATCCCGTATCTCCGTATCTAAAGAATCTTTTCCGGTATTACAGTTTCAGTGAAGAGTGCAACGAGCACAGCGATGACTAACCGCGAGAATGAGCAAGGACGGTCTAATTTTAAATTTGAGGTTAGATCACCGAGAGTCATTTCTCCGGTGAAGTAACGAGTGAAATAATTCCCATCTACGCTCGCGGGGTGTAGAAGAGTTAATAATAAATTAGATAAGGGCTTTCCCTAACCTGTACAGCCTCCTCGCGAGCTCGAGGCATTCCGTCGTCCTGGAGTCCGCGGCAGCGTTGTACGTCCTCCTCATTTTGCTGGAATCATATTTCTGCGCGGCCACTCGCTCGACTCAGCACCACTCATTTCCCCGCGGTCCTTTGACGCGCGCGCCTCCTGCCTACCTCGTGGAAACTCGACATCCGTCCGGTTCGCTCTCGAAATTCCTCCGAAAAGTCCTCGGATGATTAATTGTGAGCGAACTCGTCGACTCCCGCGTGCACGTCGCACGCGTTCTCCCCTCCCTCACCCTCGCTCACCCTGGGTCGCGCGCCCTACGTGCGTGATATGCCGTGTTCACAAAATGGCGGCGCCTCGAGGAAGAATATTCAACCATAGAATATACTCATCTAGAGCAGAGATGAGTTGGGAGATTACTCTCGGGCAGAGTCACGCGACCTGTCCTCTGCTGCCCCCGGTGGAGGATGCGGACGGCTAACGTACTTTCACCTGTTGCCCCTCAGTGGCAGCGCAATGAGTGCGAACTGATAACAATGCGAAGCAGGAGTTACTCATTTATTTTTACACAGTCCAGACATAGTCTATGGTAGCATTTTGATCCCGCGTTGTCACAATAGTTATTGTTAATAAGGTTATCAAGTTATTATGCCTGGTGTGTCAGAAGATTCGTCTAAGTTTTCGCACAGGGTGTTCAATAATGATCCCCTCGAGTTTCAAGGTTATGTTAACAAGAAGGTTATTGTTACGGCCCGAGATTCGAGTGTTCACACGGGAATTGTGTACACAGTCGACCCGGTATCGGAGAGGTTAGATTACTCTAAACAAACTTTGTATTTTTGCCATATTAATGTTATATTTATAGAGACCCTCTTTTTACAGTGTTGTCCTAGTTACTTCGGAAGAGAATTCAGAACTTCGGTTAAAAGTGATCCTCGGACATGCGGTTGAAACGATCGAGGTATCATCGGAGCCTGGAAGAATTATACCTGAGCTCTTTGCAGCACCTACCATTAAAATGTCTCAGCCAGAACTTGCGGAAAGGAAGAGAGCGGTTAAAGAATTACTGTCCAATAACCGATTTCCAGTTGAAGAAGAGAATGATGTTCTACGAATAAAAGGGGTATTATCGATTGAACCTCCTTACGTACCTGCATCTTGCATCTGTACCAATGAAATAATCCTGAGGAGGATACAAAGTCTTCTTTCCCAAGCGCCTGACTCGGTAAGCTAGGTAATTTAATAATAAGCTCTTTACGTAATAGTAATAATATATTTTACATAAGATCTTTGTACTAATTAATTCTTATTATAAAAATAAACTTGTGGTCGTTAGGAATGTGTAAATGTGCAGTAGTAATTACTAGTTGGGAGGATAAGATATGTTTGCAGCACGAACTGTATCTTAGTACTTTGTGTGTAACATAAAAAACTTAATCTGTAGCTACGAAGGTTAATTACCTAAAATCCTTCATGTTACATAGATAATACTTTACACTTTGTGCGTGAGAATACTTTGAGGAGAAAGTACTGTAACAACTGCATTAAGAATTAATGAAATGTACTTTTGATTGTATTGCAAATGGGCATTTGATATTCAATATTCAATATTCAATATTTCATACAATATCGGTTTAGAGTCAGTATCGACAACAAAGTGACTTCAAAATGTGTTTTGGCAATTCTAATGGCAATCTGAAAGCAGAGGAAAGGAATACAGTCTGTGATAAAATGTTACCTTTCCTATTGATCGGTGACTAGCCTGTTATTTATATTGATCTATAGACCTTAAATGGCAGTTTGTTAAAAAAGCTTATTTATATAATTGCATACACGCTGTTTCCTTGAATTTTAACATAACTTTGAGATATTCCAATCCTTGTAAAAGAAAATATTGGAAATGGTTCCAAATGCCACGGCGCTGAACATTGGTCAGGATTTTACCAATCAAAATCTTGAATATTAGAACAGCTCCCTGACATAGAAACCAAGTTTATATATAATTTTTGTATAACCACATCATGCAAATTTAGGAATCTCATAACCACAAAACAGAATTCTTAATAAAATCAATTAGCAACTGTTGCACTTAAAGCAACTGCAATTGGCAGTTGCAAAATGGATACAGCATCTCGACATTTCAGCATCTTGAAGCTCGATTATCTATCGTTTCCAAAAACTAGTGAATGGATCACATTGCATTACAAGATATAAGTAACTGGTATTTAAATCTAATTGAACGCTTCTAGTACTTCAATGTCTAACCTTCAACTTTGCTGCGACTTAGAAAATGACAATTTAGATAGTACAACAGTTCGATAAATCGATCTATAAATACGTAGCATCAACTCACTAATTACCGTACGGTGTTACGTGGTACAGTACTCTCTTAAGGCAACGGTAATGTTATAATCGAAGATTCGATGGTGCTGGTCTCTGCAGACAGTTGGGCAAAGCAGCTTATAAATAAAGTAGGCTATTCGTCTCTAGGTAGAACGCTGCTAAGTGCATTCTCCAAATGCGTTGCAACAATTCGGACTCACTTGGTCTCTTTGCACAAAGACCAGCTCACCTCATCGTAGAGCTATGAAAAAAACTGTGTGCTGCTCGTTAAGTGTATCTTCCTGTTTTCTGACAATTGTAAACTGCAGTCTATAACGGACATACGATTCGCCTGAAACGATTTCTAGGTTATGTCGAGTAGGTATCCCATGCTGGCGATGCAAATACTTAGAGCAGTCACACCGAATGGGTATTGCAGATGCATCGTGTTCCCTGTTCAACTATCCTTACCAACGCGTCTCTTTACTGCCCTTTTTTCCCCAACTGAACGTCCGAATCTTCGGTAAAAAGCACGAGTCGAACGACCTAGACACTTGACATGGCTCGTCTCGTTTGTCGCGAAGTACGATTTGTACCTAAGTTTCTGGCGATGTGCTGAAGCTCGGCTATCTTAACGAGTAATTAGAAAACCCAATTGTCTCTATCGGTTCCTTACATTACGAGGTAGGTCATTCGGTATCACTGCCCGAATAGTAATCTATCGGATTCGAGTCGCGAGGCTTCCTCGAATACTTTAGTCCCAAAGTATTAGCCATCTCCTCGACATTGGACAACACCTGGGGGAAGAAAAAAAAAAACACTTCTGAACAGGAAGACGATTTAAAACCAATATAAGGTGTTACGAAAGGAAAGTGAGGAGTAAAATTTTATAAATATTTTGACGTTTTATATATATAGAATGACCCTTTCATGTCACCTTAACAAGTGTCTATTATCACTAAATGTTGGCTTACGTAGTCCAATTGTTCCTTGGTATGTGCAGCGGACAAGCAGAAACGTATTCTGCCCTCCATGAGTGGAGTCGCGGGAAAACCGACGCCCACTGTTGCTATCTTCCTCGTCGTAAGCGTCCGCACCACCGCTCTGAAGAATTCAAATGAAATGTCATGTTTCCTTCTTTCCTCCATGGTTGAGCTGATTTCAATCGACTGATTTTGTATCTTTATAAATCACTCAAAATTAAAGACAAAAGAATCAACGTTTCTGTCCTACAAAATCCGACACAATTCAGAATCTTTAAACATCCTGATTTAAAACAAAACCCGACGATTTTTCATTTCTTTTCCTTTAAATGAATAGTGATCGTTATGGACTCTGTTCTTTTCCAGTGAAAGTGATGGAAGAAACGGCATACCCGATTTTCGAAAAGAGGTACACCAGCATTGGTACGACCGGCGAGTCGTCGTTGCCGTAGATGATGACGCCCATCTGGTGCAGTCTGCGACGGAAGTACCTCGTGTTCCTGGCGAGCTGTTTCGTGCGACGTCGCCCGATGTCGGTGCCGTCCTCGCCAGAGATTATTCTCATCGCGGTGATGATCTGCTGGGCGACCGGAGGAGACATCGCCGAGGCGTACGTGTGAGCGTGGCTGTGCACCCTGAGGTGATCGATCAATACCTGAAGACGACGACAATCGGTTAATGCAACTCCCTCGGACGGCGTATAGTATTTAATTTCCGTTCCGGATGTCGCTTTTTGTACCTTGGTTCCGGCTATGTAGCCGCCGGCGGAGCCGAAGCTCTTAGTGAACGTCCCCATGAGAATGTCGATCTCCCGGGGGTCTATTCGATAATAATCGCACACGCCTCTCCCGTGCTTCCCCATGGCCCCCGTGCTGTGCGCTTCATCTAGATAAATATAGGCCTAAAATAGTGCAAGAGAGACGTAACGACTGACTCGTTTTATCGATGTCCACCGGAGAGGTGAACGGCAGGCACAGTGCCCTGGCACGCACCTTGTACTTCCTCTTCAGCTCGAGGATCTTCGGCAGGTTCACGATGGACCCTTCCATCGAGTAGACTCCCTCTACGACGATCAAGATCTTCCTCCAGGGTTTACCGCTGTCGGGCTGGCCTAACACCACGCCCTTTTGCAGACACTCCTCCAGGTGGTCAATGTCTGGAGACGGGCCGTGCGGTTAGTGTACGAGTTTCGACATTAAAGAATCCAGAGAACGCAGCGGAACTCGTGGCTGCCGATTTTATGTGGCTATTCTCGTTTAACGTGAAGTCGAAAAGTCCCTTGCCATTTTTTGTCTACGACTCCTGGTTAACTTGTAATAATTTATTGAACCACAGTCAACCGAACGCGTGGATCAGTCGCACTCTGCCGTCCACGACGCTCGGGCGGGCCCGGTTGGGTGTTCTTTGACTAATTGTTACAGACGAACTATGCATCGTAGAGGAAAGTTGTATAGGACTTTTTCGACTCCAATTTTAACGGGGATAGCTACATAAAATCGTTGGTCATGGATCCCGTCGCATCCCGGAGTTAGGACAGAACGTGTTCCTCACTGTTGTGCTTGAAGACCCTCGTCACCGCGCCCGATAGCCGGAGACCGAGGATCAGGGACGCGTGGTTCTTCTCGTCACTCAGTACCAAGCATCCTTTGCCAACCAGGGACGGGAGATTTAGAGAATTAGTGGCGAAGCCCATCCCGAACACTATGGCGTCCTCTACTCCCAGGAACCTGGCCGTCTGCTTTTCCAGCTCGTCGTGGATCGCCAGGTTTCCTTGAAAATTGACAATTGCTATTATTCCTGAACTCGGATATCTTCATTGTGTATGCAAACGTCCATCGGAAGTCTTGTACAGATATCGAAATCAATGTTTACCCAATTCGAGGCGAGTACTGCAGCTGGCGCATCCGAACTTCTTCAGGGTCTCGATGCTCTTCTCCGCGCAGGTCCCCGTCGACTCGGCGAATCCTAGGTAATTGTAGGAGCCCAGGTTTATGCACGGCGATTCGGTTCCGGTGAATCTGACGAGGAACTTGCATTTTAATGTCGGACGAAGCCGCTCGCTCGCTCGTAACGGGGCTTGTTACGGCTGACAATGATCGTTAGTTAAGCTATTTTACGGGAAATTAAACGAACGCCGAGTACGCAGTTAAGATACACTCGGATTCAAGGTGAACGATACCGTGGCTCGAGCTGGGGAATACAAATAAAATGAGTCATTGGTTGTTAAACGCACTTCAAACGGCCCGACAGCGTTCTTTCCTCGGTTTTTTCGCAGGCCCGGAATAAGGTTATCGCGAGCTGATAATTGTGCCCATAATTATGATAGTGGTCTAAGTCATATATTTTTTGTTTCGAAATTACATTGAATTAATTTCGTTTGAAATAATATGGCGTGAAATAACTGATAAACTCATTTTTTTTTTTCAATTTTGACTTAGACCACTTTCATAATTATGGGCACAATTGTACTTACTCGAATGTCCAACCGTAATCGCGAGTAATTCGGTCCTTCAGCGTCACCATTGCTCCTGGAACGGAGCAGATAGGGCGATTCCAGCAATCTCTCACCCTTCGGTACACATATCTGTGATAAAAGCTCTCGAAGCTCTCGAACAACGGCGTGTAACCCTGAAAAGTCATTACATTGTACATTTCGTTAATTCCGATACGATCACGGTGTAATACTCGAATTGTTTATTAAAAAAAAATCGGGAATTTAAGAAACGTAAATCAGTCGATTAAAATCGGTTATTTCATCCCCTTAACTTGTGCGCTCGAGTTAATTCGAGCGGCGTTGTATTTTATGCTACTATAATTTTTCACCCTCGAATATAATCGATAATTTTATTTTTTTTGCCAAGACAATGTTCGTGTTTTTTTTTAAATAAAAAAAAAATTATTTTTTTTTTAATCTGTGCGTTAAGGGGTTAATCGAATGATTTAAATCAGCTCAGCCGTGGTGTAAACCCAGTTGAGCAAAAAGTCGACCGCAACGCGACTCGCCACTTACGAAGGTAGTACAAATTGGCGACAGTCTCATTCCCTCGTTTTATCCCGGTCGGTTCATTATCCTTGTCCTTACCTCTCTGTTCTGCTCCCGGGTTACTTTCGGCGTGAACAACAATTGGTTTATAAAGCCCAGGAACATGAGGACGTAGAAACCGAAGTGCGTGAGGGCGGCGGGAATGAAGGGCACTTTCTCGCAGCTCTCCTCGAACTTGACCCCCTTCGGCGGTTTCCTTTTCTTCAGGCTCTGAAAGTTAAACGACTTGAAGATTCCTTCGAGGATGCCCTCTGGACTGTTAAAAAAAAGAAAGAAAGAAAGAAAAAAAGAAGTATCGATATTTTATAACATTTTATAAAAATCGACACGTTATTAAATTAACTCTTAAGCGAGTTTTCGATATCTTTCTCAGACATAATACGGATTCGGTATTAAAGAAAAAAAAAAAGGACCACCCAGACTGTGCGGACTCTCTTCCCGGCATCTTATGTCATTTTCGAATGCGATTCTCCGACCGTGAATTTTTCCGCGGTTCCGAAAAGGGAATTAATCCCGAGTTACCCGCCCCTCTATGGATCCGAGGACGAGGTAAATCCCGGCTCCTCGCTTTTAATAACGACCAATTGAACGACATCCCGCCGCGACCCGGGACATTCCACCGCCAATTGCCGTGCCGAGTAGTCCCATGGTCGCGGCGAGCACGTGTCCACCTTGCGGACCAATCGCGGGCCGGCTCCAGGGGAAACGGGCCAATCGCGAGCTGGCTCCAGGGGAAACGGGCCAATCAGAGCGCGCGGACCGGCGCGCGCAGTCCCGCGGTCACGAGCCTCGCCTGGCTTACCGTTACGCTGCCGTTGCTCTTTGGCGCGTAGTGGCCGTTAATCCTGCCGTTGAGGACGGCCTCCCCGAGCGGCGTTATCCCGTTTTTGAGGGGCCCCTCGAGGTCCTTCCTCCTCGAGTCAAGGCCGGCCATGCGATACCTGGCGGTGGCCATCTTGGATCGTCGACCGGTGTGCCGGAGGTGGCGTCGGGTGCGAGACGTGCGCGCAGGACGTGTGAGATGACTCGCCTCACCCGTGGCCTCGCGCTGCCTACGTACGGCGCCTGCGCAGTGGCCCTCGCGTCACTCCCCGCGGTTTCGTCGAGTCGCGCCACCGGAATGACGCGCTCTCATTGGTCGCCGGCCCGGAGCCCTCCGCCAATCCTGGACCGCCGCTGAAACCGGAAAGATGCGTCATTCGAAGGATCGAGTAGTGTTTTTGAATTTTTATACGTTTAAGGTGACATGAAAGAGTGGCATATATTGGCTTGATGCATAAGTCACTGCGCATTTTTTTAAATATAAAAATGCGCCCAGAAATTAAATGTTTTAACGTAACGTTATATGTTATTTTAAAGAGAAATTTTTCTTCTACAAGACAGTGTTTTAATATATTTTTTAGATTTAATTTTTGTGCCCATTTCTTGTGCCTATTATCTGGTCGATTCTCGAAAAAATTTCTCTTTAAAATAACACATAACTTTATGTTAAGACATTTAATTTCTGCGCGCATTTTTATACTTGAAAAAATGCGCAATGACTTATGCATCAACCCAATATATATATATATACACACCAAAAAGTCAAAGTATTTATGAAACTTCTCTCCAAACTGGGTGCACCTAATAATTCCAGAACTTATGCACGAAATTTCAATTTTTCGAAAGAAATGCATTAATCTCGGAGAAGAACAGAGAAAAAGACATTTTTTTTTCAGAATCTGAAATCTAGCTAGAGGGTCAATCAATCTTACCGACACGTGGGGTAATCCCAAGAATTCCGGGACGAGAGGGGATGATAGAAGTTTTGTATGTATCTCCCATTGGAATATTCGTGGTGTAATTGTGTACTCCTAGTTTCGCGGAAATGCATTTACAGCCCCTTATCTGGTAGCGATATGTATGCGTATACCACGTGGGTGGGAGTTTCGAACTTCCGGGGATTTGAAAAACTCGGCTTACGAGTACTTTCCCGCAACTCGACGGGGACGATTCTGGCTGGTGACTAATCGATTATTCGACGTTAACGCCGACTCGGGCGACGTGCTGATAAATTAAGAAGGAGCTTCGATTTTAAAAAACCTCGAGACAGGCACGATGTCGCCGCACTTCCCGGAAGCACATCAGGCCGAATATTAAGACACGTATGACGTCATAAAAACCGAGTATTATCACTTAAGGTGCGACGTAGTACGCGCGGAATTTAATTTCTATACTTTTTCCTTTGTTTTTTTACGTGATTGCGATTCTATGGCGATAATTCTAGAAGGGGAGTAAATTTGCATCGATAGGTGCCTCTACGTTATCACTCTTTTTGGTCACCTGCGCTTTATTTTTATCACGCCCATCGCGTTGCCATGTTACGGTGCCCGGTTAATAAAGAGGTGCACGTTAACCCGAGTGCTGATCGGCAATTTTCTAACGCTGTAAATCGAGGAGCTTACTTTCAAAACCGGCGCGACGTAGATCATGTTCCCGCCATGGCGCGAGAAAAATGCGAAAGGTATCGCAAGACCGATTTTTGCCGTATCGACTAAAATATTTAACCGTTTTCATGTTCGAATTTTAAACGGTTTATATACAGGGGGGAAAGAAGTTCACGCAAAGGCGGTGGAACGTTTTAAGATCAAACTTTATACGGGTTTCCCAGCATCGTGATTAATTTAAAATGATTTGGACATTTTTTTTTTTGGGATAATTTTAAATGACACGGATTTTTTTCCCTGATTTATAATGATTCAGATTTTATTCGGTTAATTAAAAGCGAGATGTTGAGATGGTGGTTTTAATTTTTTTTTTTTCCGTTTTGGACGGGAAGTCGGCGAAGCCGGATAGGGCGCGCAATTCCGCACAGGTGATCGATGGGTGTTACTGCGGACCGGCGCTGCGGATTCCCGTTAGCCGTGCGACCTGCCGATATCTCCTCACCACGCCCCATCCCGCCTCCCGGTCGCGGGACAAACTTCGGACAGATTGTGGCCGGCCGGTGGAATATTGATTCTGCTTAATTAAGAAATACCTTAGTTTACCTCTGACCAGTGGAAGGGACGGCCGCAGCTGCAGACCCGTCCTCACGGAGCGCGCTCGCCGTCTGACCCTCGGCGCGTCGGGTCGGCCCGAGTGCACGTGCACTCAGCCAACACGGTGCTCCACATACGCCCGGGAGCGTGCGCGCGCAGCCGGCGCTTCGCGCTACTTTTCGAACCACGGTGTTCTCGACTCGCGGATCGAATAGATACGGTCCAGCGCGAATCCAAGACCTTCGACGAGTCGCGAATCCGTTACGTTCCCCTTCGATGGGGCAGGTGAGACGAGCAGTTGGTGTTTCCTGCCTAGACTGGTCGATAACTAGACCTGCGATTGGTCGAGGTGCGAGATGCCCGCGCGGCGCGGAATTCAAAGATGGCGGCGCCGACGCCAGTCGGGATTTCCTAAGTTTTTCGGAAAGGGTCAGGTCAGAGTCTTGATAATTGCGTGCATAGGGGTTTTAGAGAGACAAGGGTGTATGTTTAAGGTAACCAAGTGGGGTGTCTTGAGTTCCACATACGTAATTGAATTTCTCCAAGAATTTCGGAAATCAAGGGGTGGCGCGCGTGGGGAGGACTCCCCTCTTGCGCCGCTAGTTCGCCTCGCGACGCGTAGAGAGAAGATGGCGCTGCGGTGCGCGCGCACCGCCGCTGTGAATCCGGCTTTAACCGCACTTCTCCGTACACCGGTGGTGCGCGCTTCGCAAGTGCGTCTTGCCCGTCGAACGCGTCGTGTGTGACACTTGACAGCCGGGAGTGCCGGCAGGGACGAATTTCGAGATACGATCGCGCATCTTAACGGCTGCCGAGGAGCCGCGTGAGTACACTCGCACCGGCGTCATCGAAAAGCCAAGCGAGGGCACGGCGAAGGTTGGTTGACGGGCCGCGCGTCGCTCGATTTTCGGGGCGGTTGCCCGCTCAGCGTTTCCCGCACATCCTGGTTTATGAGCCCGGGCGGCGGTACATTTGCGGCACATCTCGCGGCGACGCGGACGAGTCAGGTGAGTTCTCTCGCTCCTGGCGGGGAAGTGAGATAGTTCACTGTGAGAGTTCTCGATAATTCACTGCCCGGGTGCGGTCGGCACGTTGCAGGAGCGTCATGGAGCAGCAGAAGGTGACCGAAGGGCTGGCAGTCCAGGAGGAGGCTTCGAAACTCGTCGACGTGGACCCTCTGGCAAGGATGAAACGCGACCACGAGTCCATGGACGACTTTGAGCACCTGGAGCACGACGTCGGGGCCCGAGCCGAGTCTCAGCAATTGATAGACCTGCCTCCAGGGACCACTGCGTCGGAGAGTGCTTCAGGTGGGCCTGATCAGGGGGGTCCAGGAAGTGGGTTCGGAGCGAACCTCCTTGACTCGAGCGTGCCTCCAGGAGAGGAGGAGCTCAAGCCGGAACGGACCACTCCGGCCACGCCGCCACCCTCTGCCGACTCGGAGAAACTCTCCGACCCTGCTCACCAGCTGTCCGCACCACTGGATAAGCAGCTCGACCAGGTCGCCCAGCTCTGCCTCAAGGAGGCCACTGCGGCGTTCATGGAGTCCGAGAGGTCGCCCTATGGTATGCCTACGAAGGATTCCAGGGTGTCTCCTGGGGAACGCGAACCCGAGAAATCTAAGGAAGTTAAGAACGACATGCTCGGTGAGTTCGGCAGGTTCGGGGCTGGCTTAGGCCAGGAGAAGAGGAAGGCCGAAGAGACGGTCTCTTCGAAACCTCATTCCGGGTATCCTGCGGAAGAACCCTCGCAAAGGGTGCACGAAACCCCTCAGGAGAAAGAAATTGCTGGAACCACCAGGTCGGACCCTAACACGAACTTCTTCGATGAGAAAATCAGCGATGCCAAGACCGAGGCACACTTCCTGGGGCCTGTGACAACTTCGGTGCAACCTGTCCCTGAGAAGGCACCGATCCTCGACTTCTTGAGGGAGGATCCACCCTCTGAGAGCAAGCGAACCGCCAAGGGCTCCACCGATGAGGACTCTTGGAACCTTCTGGAGAAGCCGGACAAAAGCGAGGAACGCGACGCCGCCGTCGAGGAGGCTGTCTTCCAGGGCGCGCCGACCAAGCCGCTGCCTCCGCTTCCCAGGGAGGCGAACGCACAAGAATCGTCTGATCTTTTCCCTGAAAAGCCTCTTCCTGATAAATTCGTCATGTCGAACGACTTCCTCGGAGCGGAAGCTGCCCGGGGAAGGGCTCCTCAGCACAGTGGCACCGAATCCGGGGACTCGGAGTTCGAGTCCGAGCCGGAGCCGTCCCCGGCGAAGGTCTCCCTAGGGAGACCCGCGCAACCCGCCCCACCCGCGAGACCCACCGAGAGGAGAGAGGAACCCGCGAAGATGAAACTCCCCTTGAAGAAGAGGGAAGAGGTCGACGAGATCGCCCCCAAGCAGATCTTCAGGGACATGGGACTCGGTGAGTGTTCACTTCTTACCATGTCTTACCGATTTTTGCATTCCCTTAAACAATTTTATCAGCCGATGTGGTATGATAAAATTTTTCGTTACTCATAGCTATACGCATCGGGTGCAACGTCCTTCTCTAGCAATAATAAATTGCGTATCGCTCGCTCGTTATTACCGTTGGAAATTTTATAAATAAGGTCGTTGTAAACAATTTTCGTTTCTCATCGTCGGGATCTCTCAAGGAGACTCCGAGAGAGAACGATTTGGATTTAGCGAGGCAGCGACCCGTTTTCTAAAGGCTTTCTACTTTCTTTTAGTAGAAGAAGCCGACGGCAGTTGTTTCCTCCCCCCCCCTTTTTTTTTTTTTTTTTTCCTTATCCCAATTGGGTCAGGACATGAAGTAGAGACGCACGTTTTTACACCGAGAGAAAAATTTCCGCGCCGTTAAGCTTCGTTTCCTTTGACTTAACGCGTTTCCTCGAAACCCGATTGTACTTAACGGGTGCGGCCCACGTGACTCGATGATTCATCCCGAGCGCTGGGGTGAAACGTCCTTAATAATTCGCCAAACCGAATTTTCTTATTAATTTTCCGAGCACGAGGTAGATACACGTTTTTAACCCTCGACGAGAAATTTACACGGAGTTAGGCCTCGTTTTCCTCAGTTAAACGCGTTTTCTCGATACCCGATTGTACTTAACCGGCGCAGCCCACGTGACTCGATGATTCATCCCGAGCGCTGGGGTGAAACGTCCTTAATAATTCGCCAAACCGAATTTTCTTATTAATTTTCCGAGCACAAGGTAGAGATACACGTTTTTAACTCTCGACGAGAAATTTACACGGAGTTAGGCCTCTTTTTCCTCGGTTAAATGGGTTTTCTCGATACCCGGGTGCGGCCCACGTGACTCGATGATTCATCCCGAGCGCTGGGGTGAAACGTCCTTAATAATTCACCAACCTTAATTTCCTATTTAATTTTCCGAGCACAAGGTAGAGATACACGTTTTTAACCCTGGACGAGAAATTTACACGAAATTAGGCCTCGTTTTCTTCAGTTAAACGCATTTTCTCGACACTCGATTGTACTTAACGCGTGCGGCCCATGTGACTCGATGATTCACCTTGACCGTCAGGGTGAAACGTCCTTAATATGTTGATAAACCGACTCCCAAGAGACGATGTCATCTCGTATTTGCAACGCAATGCACTCGAATATATTTCACGAAGATGAATATATTTTCTCCGCGAAAAGGGAACGAATTATCCTTTTTTTTTTTCCCCCGGGGAAACGTTTGTGAATATTTTCTGAATTTAATTCGCCGGATCTCTCGCGCCAAACTTCGCGGGGCTTACAACGTACATTCTTAACTCTGACTCACCGGTGCCATTCAAGCCGATGCGTGGACAATCTTTATTAATAGAAACGCCAGTAACTCCGAGAGGGAAGGTGACAACAGGCGGGATTTTTCTAAGGATGCTGATAACCTAACAACTGCATTAGCTCGGTCCATCGTTAAGGTGATATGAATGGGACATTATATATATAAAATATTTATAAAACCTTTCTCCAAACTGGGTGGACCGAATCATTTGTGCCCATAATTATGAAAGTGGTCTAAGTCATATATTTTTTGTTTCGAAATTACATTGAATTAATTTCGTTTGAAATAATATGGCGTGAAATAACTGATAAACTCATTTTTTTTTTTAATTTTGACTTAGACCACTTTCATAATTATAGGCACATTTGACACTTCAGCACGTGATTATGAAGGCCCCGAGGAAGAAGATGGTGCTCATGAGATTTCGTTAAAAAAGAACAAAAAAAAATGTATTCTTGGTCCTAGTCCGAGATGAATGAAAAATTTCATCTTTTTGTCTTTTTTCTTCTTTCTTTTTTTCAAAAATTAAATTTCAAGAGCACCGCGGTCTTTGTTAAGGCCCCCACAATCACGTGCTGAAGTGTCCAACGATTCGATGCATTCAGCTTGGAGGAACGTTTCATAAACATTTGAACGTTTTATATACATAACCCTTTCATATCACCTTAACCCTCTATGGGCCCGTGTAACTTTCAGGCCATATTTTAAATGAAAAATTTTTTTTTCATTTGCATATATAGGTTCCTAATTGCTGATTTTTCGTTCCCCGAATTTTTTTTTATTTATTGAAAAATTCGGCCCATAGAGGGTTAAAAGTTCGACCTCTTTAAGAAAGAACGAATCGGGGGAAAAGTGGGTCTCTCTTAATTCTGGACTTCTTCCAACTGTCCTCGAACGATTTTTGGAATGCCAGGAAGGATGCCGAATGTGCTGAATTTTTATTTTTTTTTATTTTTTATAAAAGCACGAGGATTCTCCGAGGACCTTGATTGGCTCCTTGGCCCTGGAACGTCTCGATGAACGAAACGCGAAGGGGTTAAATAAAAACCTCGCCGCCATTGGGTGCATCGTATCATTTGAAAAATTCATTTTTTGTAGCTTGTAGACAAGATTTATAAATCTTTTCGGGTTTTAATGTACGGAATGACCCTTTCATAACACCTTAAGGATTTTTATCTTTTCATTGTAGAACGTGATTCTTCTCGTGTATCGATTCTTCGCCAGGAATCGATTCACTAGTTTGCAGGAATCACGTGGGGATTTCTAGTGGAGGTTCTAAGCCCGATTATTCCGAGGAATTATCAGGACGAGACGCAGGGCGGTAATTGTATAAATTTGCTATCAGTCTGGCCAGAGGAGCGGAAAGGCTCGGAGGATCCTTCGATATTCCACCTGGTCGATTCATACAGTCGATCATAAATGATTTGCACGCAATCGCTAATCGGGCTAAACCTGGAGGTGGACGCTAACGAGGGCCGAAGAGGTCCTGGACGAGGTGTACACTGTTCAAAGAAAATTCTTAACACCTTTCATACGTAACGTCGTAATGAAACTATAAATTTGACGTCTTAAGGTGAAGTGAAACACCCTTCAGATCGGTCGATTTGAATACAACACTTTTTTTTAAGGGTATTAGACGAAACTGTTCGAAACATTGACACATCACTCGTGACCATCTAAGAATTGTCCTTGTCCACCTTAACAGTGAATCCATTTATCACTAGAATTCTATTATTGAATTTTCATAACGTCACGTTGTCATCCTTCTGAGATTCTGCCGAGATATTAGAAATTTGATATTCCAGGGTCATATCTACTAAATTCATGATATATGGTATAAATCTTATTTGAAAATTGTTATAGAATTTTTTTCTTTTTTTTTTTCTTATTTCATCAATGTCTGACTTGAATTGCGAATTTGCAAAACGTCGACCCACTGGCGACGGTGGACGTGGGTCATTCTTGAATGCCACAATTTATTTATTTATTTTTTTTTTACGGGATACATTGGTGCACTTGAATGCCTTCTTTACGGATATTGTGCTGCCAATGTATCATGGCATGATATTCATGTCCGTCAGTGTACACCTCGAGCCTAGAAGCCACTTCCGCTTGACTACAGTCGAACGAGTGCCGTATCGACTTTTACGGACGTTTCGACCGTAAATCACGCTCTAACGGACATTTCGTCATTTCCTGCTTGTTCGTTAAATATTTTTATTTATTTATTTCTCGCGAAAATCACCCAAGGTATGGATTTAACCTTTGAAAGAGACAGGTCCGATTTTTAGGGAAGTTTATTTCATTTTAATTACTTTTCGTGTGCATTTATATTAGGTTGTCCCATAAGTTCCTTCCTTTTTTTTCATAGGACTGAATACACGATGTGGAAGGAACTTATGGGACAACCTAATATTTTGAGGTCTTATGAAACTATCGAAATCAGTCGGACAAGGCACTTATCGTTTTTTTTCTCTCTCTCGAAAATCAAAATTTAGAAAGTGTGTCAGAGCATTTCTTAAATGAAATTTTAGGGAATTTGGTGGAATTGTCTTTAAAAAGAAAAACTGACACTTACTAATGGATGTTGATGTAGACATTAATGCAGGCGAAGTCTCTGAACTCTCTTAACGCGTTCTTACTGTCACTTTTTTTTTTCTAATTTTTTTTATTCACGCGACCGCGATAGTAGGTTAATGCCACTCTTTACGCGGACGTATCAATTACGTAAATCACGCGTTGTGACATAATCTGTGATACACGAGGAGTGACTCGCATTCTCTGGAGAAAAGGAATCTCAAGTGCAATTCATCTCAGATGCAACTCGGTCAAATAGAACTCTGGTTTGTCTTTAATTAAACATACATTATTTGAGAGAGATCCTTCTACCTCCGGGTGCGAGTTTTAAAATCTACTCGCTGCCCTCGCAGGATATTAATATCCAATTTCCTGATATTTTTGGAACGCCCTAAGTCGCTCTCACTGCTGTTTTAAGAAACTCCGTTCCGAGCTGCACTCGACGTGGCTGCAAGTTTTTCTCTTTTATTTATTTTTTTCCCCCTTTTTAAATATTCCCAGCTTAAGCCGTACTAAAAGCAGTCAGGAAATAGAACGAAATTGTTCTTAGAGAAAATGGATACTCATTGAAATTTCATTTTTCTTCGTTTTTATATAAGAACGTGCACCGAGGAATATTGCGGATGCACATGCAGTTGACTCGGGTGCGTGCAACGCACACCACTGGTCGGATTCTCATTTATTTTTAATAAATCAACTGACCAATTCACGAGCAATTGGTAGAATGTAATATCGCCATTTTATATTGACGAATGGCAGGGTCTCGAAATATATGAGCGGTGGTTAATGTGCGTCGAGGAATATTGGATGCACATGCAGATGACTCGGGTGCGTGCAACGCACACCGCAGGTTGGATTCTCAAGTTGGTCCCTTTACGTGGGTCGTGTCATATCGATCCAGAGACAGCTTCGAGCCCTATCCCCAACCCCCCTTGGCGAGTCCACGAAAAGAATCCTTAAAGTCCACGAGACGCAATAAGGCACGCCATAGTACACTTCCTGCGACATTATCCATCCTTCCGAATTTTCACGGGAAAATATTTAAAATATTTCAACTTTGCGGGAGGGTAGCGAGAAGGAAGAAAAAACCTGCGTTTATTCCCCGGGAATATTTATTTGAAATTGTCGCACCTTTGACGTGCACTCATTGCTGGTCAATGGGTGATTCGTTAGGTCGCAGAGAATTAATTTCTTAACGTCGAGAAATTTCATTATGGATTATATAATAAATATTTAAAAGATTTAAACTTTGCGGGAGGGTATCGAGAAGGAAGAAAAAAACCTGCGTTTATTCCCCGGGAATATTTATTTGAAATTGTTGCACCTTCGACGTGCATTTATTGCTAGTCAATGGGTGATTCGTTAGGTCGCGGAGAATTAATTTCTTAACGTTGAGAAATTTCATTATGGATTATATAATAAATATTTAAAATATTTCAACTTTGCGGGAGGGAAGCTAGGAGGAACAAAAAACGTCCGTTTATTCCCCGGGAATATTTATTTGAAATAATTGCACCTTTGACGTGCATTTATTGCTAGTCAATGGGTGATTCGTTAGGTCGCAGAGAATTAATTTCTTAACGTTGAGAAATTTCATTATGGATTATATAATAAATATTTAAAATATTTCAACTTTGCGGGAGGGAAGCTAGGAGGAACAAAAAACGTCCGTTTATTCCCCGGGAATATTTATTTGAAATAATTGCACCTTTGACGTGCATTTATTGCTAGTCAATGGGTGATTCGTTAGGTCGCAGAGAATTAATTTCTTAACGTTGAGAAATTTCATTATGGATTATATAACTTTGCGGGAGGGAAGCTAGGAGGAACAAAAAACGTCCGTTTATTCCCCGGGAATATTTATTTGAAATAATTGCACCTTTGACGTGCATTTATTGCTAGTCAATGGGTGATTCGTTAGGTCGCAGAGAATTAATTTCTTAACGTTGAGAAATTTCATTATGGATTTTTCGAGCAACGTAAGGCGTTTTATAAGAGGACCTCGAGTGAAGACGATTTTCGAAATTGGACTCCGGGACGATTTTTTATTTCCGGCCGTGTATCTCTGGCGAGGCAGGTCCGATTACAACGTAACTTCCGTGTGAACGGGCCTTTATACAGTAGGCGGCGGTTTCCAATTCGAGTTTGCCGAGCCGGAATTATTTTCGCACGCGATTCCGGTATCTCTCCCTTCCGATGGTTGCGGGGCTTTTTTCAGATTAAAAAGTCTCCACTTTCATTTCCCGGTAGTAGATTCTTTTTTGTCATTTTTTTTCTCCCCGTAATTTTTGCTCCATTTTTATGGCGAATTTTCGGCTGACGTATTGGACTGCTGAAATTTCATGCATATCGGTTTTTGTTGCACTCGTGAGTGTATATGTGCATATACGAGGTCTTCTCCGTGTTCTTTTTTTTTTCTCGCGACGCTTTAAGCTCTGCTCACACAATCAAAACCGAGCACAAAGCCGGCTTTCCAACGAGTGTGATAAACGGTTTGCTGGCCTGCAGGCTAGGCTTTATTAATCGCCGGTATTTCCTTTTATTTTTCCTTCTTCTTTTTTTTTTTTCTCCTAAGCCGCCTCTGTCGTGCCACCTTTTATTTATTCTCGCCTGACCTGTATTATAATTTCCATTAAAAAGGTATATACCTTCTCGATAGTCGATACTTCTCGTTGCATACTTGACGTGAAAATGGGATATCCCTTTTAACATCGGGTCAGTTTTCAGACTTTTGGCCGATGGATTAGATTAATTAATTTCGAGAGAGTGTATTTTTCGTTTTTACGTGAAGTTTATATAAGAATAATCGTTTTTACGTGAAGTTTAATAAGAATAATCGTTTTTGGACTTCACGGCCGGTCTGAAGAAAAACAAATGTTGCAGATAGTTTCTGACAAATGCAATTCCCGTTTTCTCGTCCCTTCTTTTCTCTAGGTCGAGCCGATACTTAATTTCTTTCTCCACTTCACCGTTACATGAAGTTTATGTAACTGCATGTTCGCGTAAAAAAATGATCCTTGACAGCCGATGGTAAACAATTCATAACGGCTGCTCGGTAAATAAAACAAAAATGTTTGATAGGCTGGATGGACTGAGAACAAAATAATTAATCGGGCCGAGGACATATGTGCCCATAATTATGAAAGTGGTCTAAGTCAAAATTGAAAAAAAAATGAGTTTATCAGTTATTTCACCCCACATTATTTCAAACGAAATTAATTCAATGTAATTTCGAAACAAAAAATATATGACTTAGACCACTTTCATAATTATGGACACATATTTCTTCGAATATTTGTTACGTTTCGTCTTGACATGTCTAAGTACGCTTGAAATTGTAGTTAAACGACATTAGTACAAAAGCATCTTGTTCTCGTTCTCAGAAGAGTATCATTACGTGCCTTATTTTGGCTTCGGGTTCACTCTTTTTTTTTTCTCTCTCTTTTCAATTGCGCATTATTTTCAACATTTTCGCGTAATTCGACGTAATCACCGAAATTAAGTGCTCTAGATAAAGTTATGTAAAGACACGTGGTCTCATGGCTGAGTCACCAAGGGGCGAATATTTTACGATATTTCTTATTTCCTGATAAGATAGCGATTAACGCTCACTTGTCAAGGTATATAACAAAAGGGGGTTAAAAGTAAAGCACTAATTAGAATCAGTATTTCTCGCATTTCTCGTTCGGTAGAAATGAAGAAACGCTGTTAATAAAAATTGCACATCCAAACACTAAACTCCAAAAAAAGGTCCAGAAGAAATTGTTTGCAATGTCAGAATTTTTTTCAAAGTCTCCGTTCGGCCACATTTTTTTTTTGTATCCAGTACATATTCTTCTAGAGTTAATTATCTTTAATAGTAGAAAATGTGCAGGCTTACCCGAATCTCGATTCTTTTTTTTTTTTCCAAAAATGGGAACTTTATCGGGCGCTCACTTGTCAAGGTATATAATAAAAGGGGGTTAAAAGTAAAGCACTAATTAGAATCAGTATTTCTCGCATTCCTCGTTCGGTAGAAATGAAGAAACGCTGTTAATAAAAATTGCACATCCAAACACTAAACTCCAAAAAAGGTCAAGAAGAAATTGTTTGCAATGTCAGAATTTTTTTTGTCTCCGTTCGGCCACATTTTTTTTTTTTGTATCCAGTACATATTCTTCTAGAGTTAATTATCTTTAATAGTAGAAAATATGCAGGCTTACCCGAATCTCGATTCTTTTTTTTTCTTTTTTCCAAAAATGGGAACTTTATCGGGCGCGGTCAGTGGTGGTAGAGAAATCCTTTTTCTATGGTCTTTTTTTCGTTTTCGTCTCGAGGAAAGTGTTGGATATTCTAAAGGACGCGTCTAACTTTCTTTCTCACTGGAAGATGGCCCGAGATTTTGGGGAATTTTCTAAATGGCGAAATTACTAGGAGCGAGGAGCGAGGAGGGAGCCGTGCTCGCTCACTCGCCGACTTGTACTGCACTAAGAATAAGTCGAGTAAAGAGTACTCGCGTAGTGCACGGGAACGTTCGCTCTATCTACAATACGAATGTCACCTAAGCGATACAAATCCAAAGCTCTTATCAATTGCTGCCTATCACTCGTAATACCTCGTTAATTTTCTTTTCTCGTAACTTAAGTTTCGCGTCGAACGTCTTAATGGTACCCAGGGGAATGCATTACCCGGGGAATTCTTTAAACATTACCATGCATTAATGTCATAGGGATTTCCATTTTCTTTGGCCACTTTCCTTATCAGTGAGGACCCTTTACTGCGTATCGGGAAATTAATGGAGGCGGGAATTTCAAAGCCATTCGGCTCGCCCTTAAATTTCGAGTAATTATGTTTTCTTTAAATTGAATTTCTTTAAGGACCCTTTTTTTTATTAAGTCCTCAGGTTTAACGAGAGTGACCGTAGCCTGCACCGAGTGACCTCTTGCATGACACTTGCACCGACAAGTGCACTCTCTGTGCAGGCGACAGTACTTGACTTGTACTTAAGGAACCTCTGTGCGACAATGACGGGGTACTCGACGCGATATTACCCTCGATAACCCGACAATTGACTGGAAATAGCTCGACTCCTTGGGAAATTAATCGAAATTTACACGGGACTTTAAGAGGTTACACCACTTTGACCCACCGAAAAATTACGGTTTTTCAAGAATTTTTTTTTCAAGAATTAAAACGTTTTTATCCAAATTAAAGAACAGTAGGGTATTGTACTACTATTAAAGAACAAAATATTTTTTTGGTATCTTTTTTATTTACAAAAATGACGGCTTGAAAGGCGATTTACCGAAGCGCTGTGAAAATCGATGATCGTGCGGTGGGCACGATAACTCAGTCCAGGTTTAAGCTAGATCAATGAACCAAAAAGAATTAGTTTCTGTAGCCCAAAAGCTAGGGAAATACGTAGCCGTTTTCAATATATGCATTTTTCACAAAATAGCATCGATTTGAAAGGTAAGATACGTATTTTGCCCTAAATTTCGTTAATTAATGTTGCATAAAAAACGCGAATATCAATACATTGAAAAAACCATACGTATTTCGCTAGATAAACATATCAGGAATAAAATAAAAAAAGAATCAAGACGATTGATTGAAAATTGACGGAGCTAGTGTCCACCGATTTTTAAAATGCAGCTTTAAGAAAAACGCGTTTAAGTATAAACGCGTAAAAATTTTTATGATTTTTTGAAAATATCCACTTTAACGGAGAAGCGACTTCATGACAATTAGTCCGAAAAATGGCGATTTCTGCTGTCGTTTTTCATAAGGGTAAAAAATGAATTTCTTTTATATACTAATCGGAGTAGTTTGATTAGTGAGTATTATCCTTGCTTTTTACGGGATGCATATGTATCCTTCACGCTAATCAAAAGTGATATGGCGAGTTGAACAGAGAGGAGGGAATTCAAGGGTAGAGAGAGAAAATGGCGATTTCTACTGTCGTTTTCCGTAAGAGATAAAATGAATTTTTTTTTTATATACTAATCGGAGTAGCTTGATTAGTGAGATATTATCCTTGCTTTTTACGGGATGCATATGTATCCTTCACGCTAATCAAAAGAGATATGGCGAGTTGAACAGAGAGGAGGGAATTCAATGGTAGAGAGAGAAAATGGCGATTTCTACTGTCGTTTTCCGTAAGAGATAAAATGAATTTTTTTTTATATACTAATCGGAGTAGCTTGATTAGTGAGATATTATCCTTGCTTTTTACGGGATGCATATGTATCCTTCACGCTAATCAAAAGATATGGTGAGTTGAACAGAGAGGAGGGAATTCAAGGGTAGAGAAAGAAAATGGCGATTTCTGCTGTCGTTTTCCGTAAGAGATAAAATGAATTTTTTTTTTATATATACTAATCGGAGTAGTTTGATTAGTGAGATATTATCCTTGCTTTTTACGGGATGCATATGTATCCTTCACGCTAATCAAAAGATATGGCGAGATGAACAGAGAGGAGAGAATTCAAGGGTAGAGAGACCTTGCCCGTGCACCCTAGAAATCTTGCAACCGGAGAGCGGTGGGGATTTTCTTTTTCCCCTATTTTCCCCAGCTGGTCTTGGCATTACCGCAGTGGTCGGACTTGCCTGGGATCGTTTTTCTCCTCTCTTGTCTCGTCTCGTTTTCTCCCCTCTTCTCTCGCTCTCTCTCTCTCTCTCTCGTCCTTGTCGCTATGCGGACGTAATGTCGAAGTTACAAGCCGCAGCGATGACTCGAGGACTGTTATTAAATACCCAGGAATATCTCTCGGATCGCTTGTAATTCCGCGGGTCCAGAATAACTCGATTTTTAGCCTTCCACATGCCACGGAGATGCAATTAAAATTTATCCCTTTAAACACGGAGCCGTTTCGACATACGGGCGAAATTCCTACGACCGTGCAGGCGATATTGGACCAAACGTCGGGCGCCTTTAGGCGATCTTAGTAGCCAAAAGGTTAAGGGGACGCGAAAGTGGGGCTTCCATAATCACGTGTTAAAGTTTCGAATTATCCAGTGAACCTGTTTGGAGAAACGTTTTATAAATATTTTGACGTATATATGATCCTTTCATATCACCTTAAGGGGATACGATAGTATACGAAATGTACTAGCGGCGTTTGCATACATTTTTTATCACCCTTCAGAGATGCGTTCCGGTAATTGTCGGGGAATAAAATTGTGCGTTGAGTTCGTCATGGTAACATTCGGTGGTTCGGTCAAAATGTGGCAGTACGTATTGATCGGTGCGGCAATTTCTCCGCGCCCTGCGGTGCTCTTGCACGGATACGCTCGCGTGCCCTGGACGAGACGCATAATTCGCATAATTCCCAGTAATTCGTAATTAACGCATCCCATGCACCTCCTACCTCTACCTGGTAACGAGATCGATTTTCTCGCCAGTACGCGGTGCTTACTTTATCGCGCTATCCTAGAGTCGCTCCAATTAGTTCGCGGACGCCACGCGAGAGCGCGCCAAAAGTCGCTCCAATTAACCGACCTTTTATTAACCGGTAAAGAGAGACTAACCTACGCGTTAAATTGGGTTTTTCAACCATCCCTTAAAAAGATCGAGGTTAGTATTTTTATCGATAGTTTTTATCCCGGTAACGGGAATTAAGGACATATGAAAAGGCGATTCTGCATATATATATATGATGATATATACGATGATATATATATTTATATATATAAAAACTTTAAAGTATGAAACTTTTCTCAAAACTGCAAGCACCGAATACTTTGAAACGTTAACATGTGATTGTGGAGGTCCTAAGAAAGGTCTTGACACTTGAAAGGTTTTGCGAGAAATGAAATTTTCGGAGTTTCCAAGCCCTCGTTAGGACTTCTAGAGACACGTATTAAAGTTTCAAATTATTCGGTGCACCCAGTTTGAAGGAGAATTTTATTAATCTTTTGACGTTTCGAGATGCATTAAACGACCCTTTTCATATCACCTTAATGTAATGTAATTTTCATATCACCTTAATGTAATGTAATTTTCATATCACCTTAATGTAAATGCCGGTGGGAACTATCGTTTTAATTCTGACAATGTCATTAAAATTCCACCGATATCCAAGTGAGATCAGGAGCTAGCTCGGGGGGTAAGGTAAAGACGAAGATCTGCTTTACCGACGACTGGTAGTCGCGGAGTTGTGGGGCTATGTATCGATGTGTGGTCGTGAAAGCTTCCTACTTTTTCGACGGATAGTAAAGGCTGTAAAAGGTACGGCGGATAATTATTCTCAATCAATTAAATATTTCTTTGGTTCAACGAATTTCTTCTTTTTTTTTTGCCCCTCAGAGTTAAGAAATTACTCCTTGAACTAAAATATATTTCTTCGGTACTGTTCGAAGAAATACTTCGGTTCAATGGATTTTCTTTTTTACTATAAGGGTAGATGCGACGTTAATGGGGGGCGCCGAAGTTTTTTTTCCCCCTTTTTTCAGCATTATGGAGCAATTATTGCTTATCGACGCCATGAAGGGGGCTAGTACTCGCGTCGGCGCCGCAAAGTCTGCCCGATTTCCCGCAACCCCTCGGCTCCCTTCCAGGTTCTCCACTGTGTTCACTGGCTCCTCGATTACTTATTCAAAGCCTCCCTCCGGTGTTACCAGTTTCCGGGCATGCGTGTCGTCCGGGAGGGTTCCGAAAAAGGAATGAAACTAACCCTTCTGGTGGAGGCGCTCCTCGTCGAGGGAGTGTCAAGGGGACGCGAAAGTGGCATCCGAGGGTTCAATCGTTTATGACACTTATTTCCGAACTGGGGGTATCGGATAATAATTTGGAGCTGTACCACGTGCTCCCACATAGGGCGAACGCGATGTAAATTAAATTTCATTTTCCAAAAAGGATAGAAACGTGTCCCTGGTTCCAGCCCGGGAGAAGCATCCTCAATTCGTTCCTTTTCCGCTATCTTTTTCTTTTTTCCAATTTATTTCTCACGCGTAATTTTTCCTTTTTTTTTTTTTGCCGATTTGAAAAAATCCCGCGACCTTCCTCCTCGTTTCGTGCCGTTTGGGTGTACACCATCGTTTACGTAATTACTGGTGTTACGATCTCGAATAAGGCGCACGGCTCCCTTTAATAAGCCCCGGGATGAGAGAAGGTTGCGCAACGACTAACCTAGGTTTACGTAATCTCGGTTACGCAAAAGACAAATATTTCAGGAAAGGCACCCGGCGACCGCGCGAATTCGGGCGAATGACACATAGTCCGTTAATTACTGTCTCATTTTTTATATGTACATATCGTTTTTCCTCGGTTCCCCCCTTGACTTATGATTCTTATGTGTTAAAATAAGATGTTAAATCGACGTCGAAGGCTAATTATTTTTTTTCAGCTCATACGAGATCTTTGCCCTCGGCCGCCATCGATCCTAGATCCTATCCTAGATCGTATTCGATTACGTGCAATCTAAGATATATCGTGACATTGATCCGAAATATTTCGATATCGGGTAGAATTTCCCGATCATTGTGGAGCTCGTCGCCCTTGCAGTCGCACGACCGATAATTATATTATTAATCATTATCTATATCATTATGATAATTAATCATATACCTTTTTTTTAAATTAAACATATAACGATTTTTTTTTAAATTAAACATAATTAATCATTATCTAAGAGGTGTATACGTGTCATTGGCACATCGTAAAATCCGTCGTCTTGAAAATATTTTCTTAATTCAAAGAGTAATGACATGACTTAAATATTCTCGAATCAATCGGATGCAACGTTTAATAGGAATTATGACGATTTAAGTATTAAAAAAAATGTTTTTTTTTTTTCACTTTTTTTCCCCTTCCTAGGGCACGAGTCAGATCGTAAAGTGCCGAGTAACACTCGATGATATCGATGACTCTGCTTGTGGGTAATTTACTTGGGCTCGAATTCCCTAGAAAAATAGTCCGATAATTTCCCGGGGTCAACGATCAGTCCTGAAGGGGACTACTCATAAATAGCCACGTTCGCAATAAATCGATGACTCCTCCTGTATTTGCGTGGCCTTCGGTCAAGAGATAGCGACTCATTATCTAAGATTGGTAACGCATTCGGTTACTTGAATTTTTCAGTGCCGAGTCGACCAAGCGTCACTTGTAAACCTATATGTGCCCATAATT